GATGTCGAGACAAGTGGGGCGCAACAAAAACAATCTTCGGGTGCAGGCTACATAATAGACTGCATTGGCCCCTTGATTGGGCGCACCATCGAAACTTCCAAACAGTAAGCTTCCAGGCAAACTGCAAAGCCTAGTCTCCGAATGCCAGAGCCGAGGGATACCCGAGAGTTGTGCTGTGCTCTGGGCTGAGCCCTCGGCGAGGTTTTGAAGGAAGGCGCCGGAGCCCTCAGAGCCTCCGGGACCTTCGGCCCAAAGCTCTGAGGCTCCCAGGTAGGCGCGGTAGGGAAGGGAGTTGTTGAAGGTCGTGTAGTCCTGCAAACCTTAGCAGATGGCTACTAACGCTAGTGTTTCTTGTAAGTCCTTTTGCCACATGCAAGAGAAGCCGCACCACTTAAGCTCAGCTGCGGGTGCGGAGTGTCCATGCTCCGTGCCGGTTCAGAGCGACCTACGTGCCGATCCGCGTCTCGCATCAACAGCTCAATGGCTTGAGCTCTCACGACGTCAGGGGAGAAAAACATGTCGGATCCGGGTTCCGAACCCCTAACAGTCATACAAGGAGAGGCAAAGTGAACTGCGCCTGAGATCCTGGGATGACGTTTTCCGTGAGCCCGCGGAGGATGACGTCCTTGCTGAAACTTCCACATCTCAAGCGGGAGGGACTTCGTGAGTTGGGATCGGTACGGCAGTGCACACTCGAAGTGCCGAAATGCAATCGTCCACCTAATAGAGGAACTCGATCTAGTGGTATCTGACCCGGACTCTAATTCTCCTCTCGCAGGACAGTGTTTCACAAATTTGCAAACTCTTCCAGCAGTTGTCCCGTCACAAACCACTTCGGGTCGGGTTTCGTGTCTTTTCGAGTGGACGGTTGCTGCGAAAAGGAAATGACGGCTTCCGATTGATTGGTATCCGCTTACATCGAGGGTAAAGGAACGCATAAAACGTTTTGTAGCTTTTGGCCTTCAGAATAATGAAGCTTCGGACCGAACACAACGAAAGTCGTGATTCACCCTCGAGACTTGAAGAGCCTAAAGCCAAATTTCCATGGCACGAGCCCTTCGCCCCGAAGCACCAACAAGTGCGCAACTTGCAGCTGCAGATGCTGCTCAAACCCACTGATACGAGTCCCTGTTCTAGAAAGCCGCAAATGTTGCCAAGGGTCCATCTGCACATCCTGGCCACCTCGAGGTAACGGAGACTGTGAGAGGTACAGGTATTGAGGCATTTTATGACGAAAGTCTCACGGCGAGCTTTGGGACAGTCAGAAGGATTCGTCTGACGGTTCCAGGGACTGTGCTGTTGGTGCATCAGAACTCTGGAACCCGATGCGGAGCACGGTGAGTGATAGCAACGACCCAGCTGGCCAGTTTAAGGTGCTCGGCCAGTCTTCTTTCATAAATGTCACATAGTACTACACACTAAGAGTCTGGTCAACAAAAGGCGGGCTTTTTGAGGTACATGCTTCAACAGTGGTCTGCGCCCAGAAGAATCAAACCTACACCTTGGCCCTAAACCCGACACCTAACACCCTCTATTGAGGCCTATCGGCCTATGTCCAAGATGGAAAAGTCCAGGAGGAAGTCTTGTGGAGGCTGAACAGGACCGAATCGATCTCCGACGAGACCCACCTCCGAGGTGAACAAGGAGCAAAAAGACGAGGCGCACCGCTATCACCATAATCCAATTTTGTCCCACCCGCCCAGCTGACTGTTAGAACTATACGGGTTATCGCAGACTTATACTTATACTACTAGTAGGAAGGTACTGGTTTCAAGCCGATGCCGATACATGGCGCACATAAACTTATACAAGTGTCTGTATGTATCGCAGGACCACTGCGCTCCCAAACTGGGCGATGAACGACATTGCTGTCTGAAGGTCTAGGGGCCTTGGCTTGGGAAGGCTGCAGAATTCTTTGGGTCTAAATGTCGAAATCCCACTGCGCATTCTCTGACAAAGTAAGTGTACAGCATGGTCGGTGAAATGCCGGGCTGGCATCTGCATGATGAGTTGAGTAGCACTGCCGACTGTTTCAGCGAGTCTCAACGAATATACAGGGGTGTGGCATACATTACCAACGAGTTTCTTCAAGACATTGCAAAACGGGGCAGGCCCGTCTTTCGAGTGATTTAACGAGATCACTTGTGCGACATGACGTTTCTGACCTGATGGCTGTATCAAAGCATAACCTCAAGATATGCGTTCTTGCAAGACTGCCACCTCGCCATTTGTCAGCTGTAGAGAAATGCCTTTGCTGAGCAGCACATAGCAGCCAACTATGCTACTTTCCAAAGCCAGAGCTGCATCCCTTCCTGCTGCTCGTGCGACATACTCTTCGCCGACCAAACATCAGCTGCAATTCATCCGCCCCCCCCACNNCCCCCCCCCCCCCCCCCCACTTCCCCAAATTGCTACCATGGTCACATGGGCACAGGAAAAATCCCGGAGGTGAGCTTTGCAGCTCCAGAGTGAAGTTCACACCGCAAAGGGTGTCCTGCAAACATGCGGGCAGCACTTCCGATTCCAATCCTCGAGGGGCCCTCACCTTGCGGTTCCCCAGAAGGAACAAAACGTTTGATGTCGGATGCACTGAGGCCCTGGAGTGCGCTTTCCGTACCGAGTTGTCTGCACTGTCCAAGCCCATCCGGGCCGTCTAAGACCAAAACCCCAAATCATCACTCGCTTCACAACCCAAATTAGGCTGTTGGTGGAAGCTCCAACGTCCTCCAGCTGCAGGGCGCGTGTGCACATGCGAAAGGCCGTGCAGCGACTCGGCCCGCCCTCAGGGTGTTGGGGTTGAGTTGATTACAAGCACGATAAGCATGTAGAGCTTAAAGCTTGTCGGTTTATGCAAGTATGGGATCTGCAAGGGTTGGGCATCGCGGCGAGCGGAAAGCGTCAAAGTTAAGGAGCATTGGATGATCAACTATCAGTAACTATCATATTATAACTATCACCGTGTGCACGGATCCTCCTCCCCTGCCCCTGCGAGAAGATTTTCAACACACGCTGTTTGGCCTCTGCTGAGAAGAGGTCATCACCACAGCGAACGTAAACGCGGCCGCTGTAGCAAATCTTTAGGCTTGGGGCATGCCCACCTGGAAAAAGCGACGAACGCTCCCACAAGTCACCAAGCCATCTTGCTGTCCACAACTGCCAAAGAACTCGACGTAGAGTATGCGTGACTTGGGATGGACTGGAGCTTGCATGAGTGGTTCAAGAAGCTGGCCGGTTCACCCGAAACACCAGCCTTCGCGGAGCAGCTCACACCTTGCGTGAAACAAGGAAGACTCAGATATGGGACTTGGGAGGTAAAGGGGTTGAGCTTGAAACGTGTGGCAGTAGCCAAGTAAATGGACTGCACTCAACTCACGCCCGTCACTGAACTTGAAACTCTTGCATTCCGAAGCGGGCCCTATCGCTCTTCTCCCTTAGGACTCGTGTCGTGGAGATGCCAATGCCCTGCTCGTGATTGTGCCACACACAGGGGTGTGAATGTTTGCCACATCGCGGATATACTGGACTCTGATTTTGAATGGGGCTCTTGTCAGAGATTTAGCCTTTGGCCGAAGGGCTTCGAAGTCTGCCCTTCGCTCTCACGCAGCGGGTAGCCTCGGCCACAGTTATACTTGGCTCGGAAGAACAGCGGATTGGGACCCTGCCGTGGATGCGAGGCTTGAACGTCGTAACCCGATTTCTTCCATCTCAAGGCAATTGTCCTGATTTGTTGAGTCCAGCGGCCCAAGTTCGGCTGGAGGGGCTGCGCGGCGCCTGGATGCAGCGGTGCGAGGTGGAGTTCAAAAGCAACCAAGCGCCAGAAATGAGCCCTGATTATGTAGAATATCTGGATCGAGAGTGAAAGCATGGAAGCTGATCCTGCGCGATAGTGAGGGTGGCGGATATCACTCCTCTCCCCTCGCTTGCCAACTAGTCCACTGCCTACCCACAGCGGGGTGTTCTGCGTAAAGTCGAACACGTATGCAGCTTCTGCATTGTTCCTGGTTGCATGAGCAGCTGCCACCACTGACATGCGCTTATATGCGCTTGAGGGCTTGGCAGGGGCCCAACAACGCAGAGGTCCAGCGTTTCTGTTTTCGGGGCTCGGTCACAAGACTGTCTCCGTATTGTCCGGAACACATCAAGAAGTTTAGCCAATCGTGATAGATGCTCAGCACTCCATCAAGTCGAAATCGCGAAAAGCTGTGCTTCCACGGCTCGGGGCCAGGAAGGGTGGGGTCTCGCGGCGGGAGCCCGGACATTCAGCAAGGCGATCGACGCACGAGGCGTTGCCCATCAGGCGAGAATAAGCGAACGGTCTGTGGGGGTTACCATTACTCTGGCAAGTATTGGCTACCCAAGTTTGCATTCCTGACTGACTAAAGCAATTAATCCTGGGGTGGTCCGTGCAGGTTTCTGAGTAACTGCGACGGCTTCTTCGGTTTACAAGGGCAGCAAGCCGAGTGTGCACCACCTTGCCACGGCTTGGCTGGATCACATACCTGCATTTCCAGCCGTGCCATTCTGAGTAAGTGTCAATGCAGCTATGAGAACTCCGAGTGTTGTCGAGAAGCTACTTAGGTATAAGACATGACATCTTGTGACGGGGTTGCATGTTTACGTTGGCGTTGTCCTTGGAGCCAGACGGCCTCAACGCATGTATTTATTGGCCTGCGATTGCCTCTCTTCTCTTTCAGCCCCAGCATTTACAATGAGACTCCTTTGGGTCCAATGCCCATGAAACTCTTCCCGCTTGGCTTGCAGCGAACCTTTTCTAGAAAGCCAGGCAACCGCATCTGCGGTCCGTGCGTCGGTATGCAATAAAGCGCGCTGCGGGGAGAAGCTATAAATACAAAAAGCGGGAAAAGCTGACTTTATAGCAACATGTGCCGGTTTAGTTCAGCGTCATAGATGAGACTTCTGCTCGGTAAACGAAGGTGGGCGATCGATTGATGAGCCATAATAACCTCACTGTAGGCCAGACGCGCAGAATCAAAGACCGGTTAAGGCTTGAAGTCCCAAGCAAAGACATCAGAAATCGGTTTCCCTTTCAGCAGGCAATTGCCAGAAGTCACCTGGCGGTTGAGATCAGAGTCGGTTACCCCAGAGTTAGGTTGATCTTCAAGGTTGTCAATATCAATAACCTTGTCACCATGCACCGCCTTGTCGCTATATTTTGGTCTACAACCCATGCCTAAACGACACCGCTGGAACCGCCTGACCCACGAAAGGTCAGGGATATCCTCAAAAACCCCATGGCCTCGCACGTGAGCTCGGATTCGGATTCCCGACCTTGCTCAGCAGTTTCTTTTTTTGTGTACACATTCTCTCTCTCTCTCACTCTCTTCCGTGCCATCATCAAGAGTCTCCCTATGCAAGGGCACACATTCTGTAACACTATAGTGAGCCTGGGTCAACCGGCTTCCTACAGCAGAACATCGGACTATCCCCTGTCATCCTTCCCCGTCTTGCTTGCATGGGTCCTCACGGCTTCCTCTGCACTGCTTGCCACTGTTTCCGACCACCTCTGTCCCCTGTAGCTCTCACTGCTGCATATATCGTCGCAATTGGCCAAATTCCCACATGGCACCATCGGGCACAGAATGCTACGAAACGAATTTTTGATCGGCCGGGCATGCTTAGAGTACCTAAATTCCGTGAGATGCCTGGCTGTGCGGACCAACTACATAGAGCTCCGATGTGTGGGCACCTGTAGAGACTATGAGGAACAATGAATGCGATATCATGTTGGGGCATGGAGGCTAGATATGGGGCTTGGCAGGACGAAACCGACAAGGGTATATAAGACGATCTAACAGGTTCTGTATGCCAAAGCAAATAAAGCCGAGCGCGCAGCGCGGGTCTGAAGGCTGCAGAAATGCGAGGCGTTTGCTGGGGCACTTCCCGCAATCGATGCCCTGCGCCTGGCAGATGATAGAATCACCATATCTACCACATGCACGTGTGTAGTCGGATTTCGGTCCTACGGATCGAGATTTGACACGCCAGCAATTCAAAAACCGTCTGCAGGTTTTATCCAGTGCAGCTCGCTTGTGATGCTATGCCCCTGGCGTTCTGCGTTTATGCTACGTTGTCAGAGAACTTTCACATGAGAGTCTAGCTAAAATGAACCTCAGAAAAAGGCGACGTGACGGTCTTTGAAGGATTGTTGACCGTCTTCCTGTTACATGCAGAACGGCAACTCAAGCAAACCGTAAATCCGATTCGATTGCTGCATCTGCTGCTCCCACCCCAAATTCGAAGGTGGACGTTGGCCGCGGCACGACTGGGGTGCCAGTGTGCTGCATTATTCAGCACAAAACAAAACACACCAACGCTCTCGTCGCACGCGGATGTGACTTAGTGAACAGATTGCGAAGTGGACGCGAAGTAGCCCCTCACATCCTCTGCTGTGCCCCGTTGCCTTGGAGATGCCACATTCGCGGCCTGAAGCGAGGCCGTCATCACAACTTGAGGGACGGTGCGATCGCGTCTTGCAAGCAAGTGCAGGATAAATAAAGCCTGCAAGAAGGCTGCACATGCTGTAGCCGGGATGTCCACTGCCTTTTGTTGGGGCGCTTGTAAACGGACGAGACCTTGTGTCGTGGCGTAAAGCCGGCTGGAAGAGTCGCAGCGGCCTTCCGCTTCGCAGGAACAGGTGCGTCTCGAAGACTGCTGTGTCAGCTCGCTGGAGTTTCCTGCCAGCCTCGGGCAAATTCGACTTTTTCAGGGCTTTGGGCGCACTTCCTGTGCTCCTGCTGTGGCTGACACAAGTACTGCTGCCAACGTAGTCAGCGACATGCATTTGGGCAAGTTGGGTAGCCGGTTCCGCGGCATAAAGCCTATGGTTTGGTCACGGAGCTATATCTATACATAAACTGACTGACTGACTGACTGAATGCGATGCAAACGCCCGGAACCTACAATAAAATCTCATAGCGGCCAAGCAACTCCTCGGACGGCGGCTTCAGCGCATTGCACACTGAACCGTCGCCAACATACTGCCTCGGAAGTATCGGAGACAACTCCTCAACAACCTAGGGTATTGTAGGGGCCATAATGATTAGATTCGGGATTTGGAGTATATTATACTATAATGTTTATAGTTATGAAAAAAAAGAGCCCCCCCAAAAAAAAACAGTATAGGTGAACATTAACGGGCCCCTACGTTATTCAGGTTTCTGTCAGCTGACACGTTTTGTGCTCGCTCTCTTGCCTGTCAGAGTCATGCCTTCGCTGGCGCTTGGACTTCCGCGCGCTCTGAGGCGCTTGCATCAAGCTTGGGGAAAGCCACATGGGAGTTTCCGAAAATAAGGGGTACCGTATTTTGGGGCCCTTATAATAAGGATCCTATTATTTAGGGTGCTATATTGGCTTCTTTTCCCAAAAAAGTCCATCGGACACTGGGAGCGAGGACCCACATGCCGTCTCTACTGGTGCTGCATAAATCAATACTGGGATGCAGGTAGGTGGGGGGTCAAATTACAAGAGTGTGTGTACAAGGGATCCTTGACCCTACCTGCCTTCATCCGACGTACCTTTCCACCAAAGCTAAGCGATATGAACGAAATGCTATTGCGGAATGCTGGGCAGCAAATCGAAACCTTGGTCGGGACACTCCAGAAGCTTCTCGAAGCGCTCTTGTGCAGCCGCGTAGATTTTTTCGTCGACCTAGCAGTTCGGCAAGCAAACTCAATTTCTTTCTCCGGCTGCGGCGGAAAAGTAGCCCTGGAAACTGGATCAACTCTAGACCGACTGTACACTTCTGAAGTCTACATCTTAAACACAAAAGCGACGCAAGTGAGACTTGTTCCTGGACGTCGAAGGGACAGGACTGAGTCGCTTGGTAGGCTTCTTCTCAGCGAGGGTGGCGCCGCTGTCGTGACGAAGAGAAGAATGATTCGGCGATTCAAAGCTGCACAAACCCACCCACTAAACAGTGAAGTCGGCGAAGGCGAAGGCCTGGTCCCTGAAGCCATTCAGCACCGACTCGTCGTAAGAATCCTGGTGAGATCCTGATACGCTTTGGGCTGCCCAAATGCTGGAAAGTGCGCCCAACCTAACTAGATACTACGAGTTCGAGTTTAGGCACTCGAAGGATGGAGAGTTCCTGCCTGCCCTAGGTGCATGCTGGAAGTACGTGCGCAAGAGCGAACCGTCTGCTTGTGCATAGGCAGTCTGGGACAACCGTAAGATGGGAAATGAGTGAAGCTGTAACGATGACCTCAAACTGGATGACAGGCTGACTAATTGATGTGAGAACGCCCTGTGGCTTCCTAGCTGCTTGCCACAGTTCACACTGGCAAACATCAGCAGTCCTCCGGAATGGAAGTCCACCAGCTGCGCAGTGCTAATAGCGCCGCCGAACCTTAAAAGACTCTGAGAAATAGTTTGCGGATGCACCTGGATCAGTGTCCGAGCGCCCATCTCCACTCCACACTAAGCCGTTGCGGATGATTTACAATGCCAGGTAGCATGCGGTGGAAAAGACAAACCGACTCGTCCCAGCGCTCGGTGAGACCCACGAAAGCCATGTCCTGGAAGATGGGAACCAGGGCATTCGGATGTTGCGTGAAGTGATAGAACCCTGACCCTTGGTGCCGAATTTGGGAGGTGTGAAAACAACTCCGAGCTGTCCCAAACCCCCAGCCTGCCAGCGAGACCTACAAACCTTCAAGATCCACCACGCACATGAGAGTTCAAGAAGCAAGCGAGTTGAGGCAACCAACTCGAGCTCTCTGGGACTGGGCCAAGCTCGTGAGCGGAGATCCGACTTACGAGAGAAGGGATCTGCTTCTGATCCCAGCCAACTGTTGCGAACCATGAGGACAAATACACTGGATTCCAGATTTGCAGGGAAGGTATGTCCTTCTTGCACCAAAACCAATAGATTTAGCAGATGCTCTTGCAACAAGAACTCATGGTACAAAGTGAGTACAACAACTTCCTACATGGGTGTGGGCATTCGCCGCCGTGTTTTTTTTACTGTCTCAGAACAGCCCGAGGGCTGAGGCCTCCAGCATCTCCAGCGCCTGCTTGAGTCTTTGTCGCCCTCCATCGAAAGGCTCACCATTCCTTCGGAGAACTCTCGCGGTGAGGGTAGGGGAGGGGCGAGCAGACTGAGCTCAACGGTCATCCTTCCTCGCAAGCCCTGAGGCACGCCCTGGGGACACGGCCGTTTACTAGAGGCCTCCGCGCAATCACCGCCGGTGAGCATGCGGGCAGTGCAACCCGCAATACCTGCTGCATCCCAATGAAGTGAAACAGAAGAAGATGCAAGGTGTTGGCTCGGTGACGATTCCAAAAACAGCTTGTGGGAGCTGACCGAATTGACTTCCTCAGCCGCACCTGGATAGCGGGCGTAGCAAGCCGCCGCCTTCTCACCCAGCGGCGTGCAAGCCTTCCAAGAGGGGCTTTCGACTTGGAAGCCGCACCCGAAACTGGCGAGGTTTCAGGTGTTCCTGCAGCTCGAAAAAGATCTGGTTGGAAAGGCCAGGCTTGTAACTGGAACAAAGGCGACTAACCTTGCAAGTTTTCCACACAAACATTGTGCAGGGCAGCCTGGACCATGTCCTGGTACTCTGCGCCCTGGAAGCCGCTGGCATGGAGGCCATTGTGATAAGCAGAGATGAGCCTGGCGCTGCACGGAGGTATGCCTGCCCCTCCAACCCTCTTCACCTCTGTAATGTTGACAGTTGTTGCTGGTCTGCCTTCTGCTAGGCCTCCAGAAAATAAGTCTCTTGCACAACACTTACAACTATATTGGCGCCTTACATGTTATGCTCACTACTGTATGCCTTTGGCTCTTAAATTCTAGCAGCATGAGCTATGGGTACTGCTTGTAACAACGGCACATGGTATCATCACTGCGATCACCACCAGCAACAGCACCAACACCAGCACCACTACATCGGTGTTACCCTGCAGATTCTATGCCAGCATAGACCCCAATTAGTGAGGGCAACCCTGAGGACCGAGGCTTCCATGGATGCAGTACCACTCCATGAGTCCACACTGTTGCAGCAGGATTGGTGCCGCAGCGGCGGGAGGTGGGAGACCACACATAGTGAGGCCCTGCAACGACTTTATAGACACCTCGAACGGTTGAAGGCCAAACGAGTGCCGGCGAGTGCAGACTTTTGGCAAAAGCAGGATCTCCTTCCCAAACCACCTCGGAATACCTAACGGAGCGTGCTGCACCCATGTCGCGAAGGCCAAGTCACTGAATTCTACAGACTTCGGCCTCCCAGCTGTGGCCGGGACTGGACCGAACGCCCGGCGAGAGTTAGCCGCCGATGTACCGATGCGCACCGCGCTCTACAGTTGGAACCCCGAGCCGGTTCGCAGGCGGTCTAATCCTTTCGATTTCTTAAGGATTATTCCGAGCGTAAGAACACACGGTCCAGGGGAACATCTTGATTTTGGTGCTTCCTGCAAACACACTCGAATCATTACGGTTTTGCTGGTGCTGGTGATGCTTCTGTTCATGCTCTACCGCCAGCATGGTTGTATGGGTCGTAAGTGCTATTGACCTACTATATCCTGCAATAGCTTACCGCAAACGGTGAAGCTTCTGGCTTCCGGCTCAGCGTGACGACAAGTTTGTGCATTCGCCGCCACTTTTTATACCTCCTGGAGTGGGATAAAGCATAGCAAACAGCTTGGGCCTCTGTGCTGGGCGACGGAACATGCCAACCACCTGGCTGAATGGGGCTTCAAGCAATGACACTGTTGTCAAGACTCTCGAATGGTCGGTTCGGTTCAAGGCAGTCTTGGTTCGTGCAGAGCCCTCTGTGCAAGCGAGTGCTGTCCCGGTGCTGTAGGAACCCGTTTTGGTGTCTGCTTCTGGGGCAGGCAGAAGCAACGACGTTCCTCTGTTCTGGGCTAAACCGGCTGAACCACCCCCTCAGATCTGTATGTTGCCGCTCTGTGCATCTTCGTTTTGCGCTGAAGCCGTTTTCGTATTGCCATGAGCTGTGCAGGGCCTGCCACTTCTCATAGCGCGTCTGCATCTGGGAGACAGGATTGTGCTGCGTCTCGAATCTTGAACTCAAGACACCTCCCAAGCATCAACATGCTTCGAATATTCTGGTGCAGCAATTGAGTAGCACTGTAGCAGTCTCTTTCGGGCCAAGCATGCTCTTGTGGAGACAGGTGCAAGCGGCTGAGATGGACATGGGTGCGTCAGCGCATTCCAACAGGACGCTTACAAAAGCCACCTTGCGACAGTGTGAGATTCCAAAAACCTGCTCTGCATGCCCCGCACATGCAACCGGCCTTCGCGACAATACCTTGCAGGGCTTGTTGAAACTTTGTGGTGCGGCACACTGTACTGTACTAAACCTAAAGGAATGGCTCGTCAACACAGCGCTTCTGCAGCAGGGTCGCGCCAAGCATGCAAACGGCAAACACGACAGTCACGTCACTGAAGTCTTAACCCAGAGCTGTTCGTGATGCAGCAGAGCCGTGAGTTCCCCATCCAGGCGCTCAGTACCACCATAAATTCACTCATCTGATAATTAGAGCCCAAACACTGATCTGGGGGGTAGCGGCCCTTGAGCGCCAGATCATAGCAGGCCTCCGAAGCGCACAAACGACCCTGGCTTGAAGCTTATAGCTATCTGCATGCCTACATAGACGCTAATTTCTCGGCATGAGGTCGAGATGATTTCCAAGAGTGCACATCGTACAAGCAGAGAGGACTTTGACACATCGTCCGCAACACCGAACCGTGAAGTATGTACCTCCTGCGGGCCGCGGCTGCTATCCAAGACTGCAGTCCAGCTGAAAACGAAAAGGGCATCACGACATGCTCATGGAGCATGCTTAGCCCTGCTACATCAGTGCGAAGCTGAAGTGCCTGGCAGTCCGGAGAAGCCAGCGGGCTCACTGAGAGGTCCAAAGGAGCTTCCTGGCCACACGCCTCGCGTAATGTGGCTTGGCGTGCATGATCCGATGAGGCATCTGTAAGTCTGTGAACACTGCCAGTTTCGAAGACTGCGATGACACCAGTGATGGTTGTGAACGAACTTGGGGATGTTTAATATAGTAAGGCCGCGACTGCGGCGAACATGGTTGCGACGTTGCTGCCGACTGTAAGGGCGGATTGTGATGCAACTATGGGGAGGCAGAATTAGGACGTGGTGACGATGACAACTCGCATGGAACCGGGTGTTCTCGAGGTTGCTGGCCTGGATGCCCAGTCGTTTCGCAGTCATAGTGCTTAAGGTCCCGGAAAGTGTGTGTACGTGAAACATGTTAAAACGCCTCTTGGAACCGGAGAGTTTTGCGGTTGCCACTCTTGCAGACAACAACTGGAACCTGATCTTACAAGTACCATAATTGTGGGATGGATCCTCCAGTGGTGTCAGCGTGAAGGTCGTCCGGCTTAAACCCTCCTGACAAAGCTTGCACCTGAACTTCCGACTCAAGCAAAATGTCCATAGCTTCCTCTTGTTCAAGCCGCATAATTCCACAGCGTTGCTGCGAAGCTGGTGCCCGCTTTTGGAAAATGAAGCCAACGAATGTTGCCTCAGGCATCACGGGAGCCACTGAAACAATTAAGCCACCTCGTCGTGGGCTTCGTTAAGCATTTTTTTGACCGAGTGGGGATCTGCACGGCTTCACGACACATCATTTCACTTGCCAAAACCGGGCATCACATTGACAACGTCAGACTGAGCTGCAACCACACCTCACATTAGCGCACCCGGCCCCAAACGTCCTCAAACTAACGGCTGAACATGAACATCGGGCAGACGAGCAGCATCACCAAAAGCATCATCACGAAGTTATCATCAGCAGCGTCGCTACACAATCCTTCTGCGTTTGCTCGTCAGCTTTGGTTTTCAGTTGTCACAAATGCATGCAAATTGCTTAAAGCCTTGCAGTCCTAGGCCATGTGCACGAGCATGAAGAATGAGCACAGGACCCTGTACACTATTGAATCGAGGGCGATTTACCGTACTCAAATTTGATCGTGCTGTGAGTGGCTACATGAAGCTGCGGGTACGTCTGGCACGGCGTTAGAATCGAAACCTTTGCGAGATCAGGTGTGCGAGAAAACATTGTAGCTACTCCCATGACCGTACAGCCTGCCCTGACAGGACTATCCAGGTGCTGTTCGAAGAAGAACTGCTGTACCGGCTGAACCGGTTTTGCACCGGTACCGCACAAACACTTTCGACATGAAACCAGAGGTCAGAATCGCACCAAACTATAGGTGTCTAGAAGGTGTTTCTGTGAACAAGAAAGCACATGCCCCGCAGCCTTGAGTCTCGTTCATGTAAGAGGAACTTCTGCCAAACAGAACTGAGGTGCGGAGCTGCACTTCGTCGCTGGACCGCGGGAGCTCAATCGAACTACCTCAGCTTTTGTTAGAAGCTTGAGAATGCGACCGTTTCCACGAGGTGAGACATAGATGTGTAGGTCGAAGAAACTGCTGGGCTGGGTGGATGGCTTCGAACTCAATGAGCTTTTCGGCTCTTGAATGCCTGATTCCGACCACCTTCCTTCAATGCAGCGGTATCCAAACCGCAATCCTGAACTGTGCAACCTGCCTGTTGAGATTCAACCCTGGATTCACGAGCTTGCGGATCCATGCCTGCACGGACATGGCATCAACATAAGCACCGAATCACCGGCCCAGGTGCTGCAGCTCTTGGATGTTAACCTCGGGCCTCCTCCGTGGACCTGCTCGAAGGCAAGGCAGGTATTGGCTTCGGCTTCATCAATCATCAACGCTGAGAAAGACCGTCGCGTGGAGTGTGTATTGCACTGGGATCTTCTCAATCTTAGAGGATCCGCACCTACATTGCATCAACCTATTCTGAATTCAGATTCACGCTGCTGCATGTTGGCTTCGTAAGACTGACAAGACTTGTGCATGTTGCGAGGCAAAGGAGGGACTGCTCTTCCTTTCAGCTTAGCGGCCCAGCAAAATCACCGCCAAAAAATAGCTTGCACAAGAGCAAGTTGCAAAATCTCTGAACTCAACCCAGCATTCCAGAGCCAATATACTCTCGAAGCTCAAAGAACTTGGCCGTATGAACCTCAGTTAAACGCAAGTCCATTTGCTTTAGACCAGGCAAGCCCCCGAGAATTCCGGTCACTTCGGGGTTCCCACCAGCTTGTCCCGGCTGGAAGCTCGCTCCAGCTGGGCCACAATGCTCCTGACTTCGGATCTTCCGCTTCTTGGAGCCATGCCATTTGAGCATCCACATGCTACATGTATGCTGCACGTCTGGAGGTCTTTTTATTGCGGCCTTACTTCACCCAACTTTTCGCGCTATCGTGGTTGCGGCCAGTCATCCCGATACTTACAGTGCCGTTGGGGAGTCTCTTTCAGACAGGGTGCTCAGATGTCCGGCTCGACTTCCGCTGCAGTAGAAACGGCACAATGAACTGACCGCCAGAAGCTCCCTGGGGGCAAATTACGGCACAGGGCTCGTGTTTACGCCCCAGGGCTCGCCCCTCGGGGTCAATACGGGATTTGCGACAGGTCCGATAACACAGAGCTTCAGAAGGTCTAGCTTCAGCGACCGGAAGAGGGAGCGGAAAGCCGCGGGCATGCCTCTGAGTCACATGGACCACCGCCCACAGTGTCCCACTCTCCTTGCACGCCTGGGAGCGAAAAACGACTGACGAAAAAATGGGCATCAGTCAGTAGAAACGAGGTTGTTGAGCTTCAAGATGCTGAACGCAACATGTTCGATTCCCAGAAGTCTTGCCGACTCGAATCTTAAGCTGCCCACACCAAGCAAACATCTGCCTGCAATGGAGGCTGCATCTGCTGAGTATCCGTGACCTGGTATCAAGAGTTAAACCTGACACTCCGAGGGCCGAGATGCAGTTGCCCGCTGCCAGTCTGAGTAGCGGAAGTATGGCCAAAGCGATTCTGCGAGGAAAGGCCATGCTGCAATAAGCGGGAAAGCGACAGGCAGTATGATTACTCCTATGATACCTCAAAAAGTATTGCAGTAGCTACTGGAGTACTCCACAGGTCAACTCTTTGACACACCTGCCAGCAGGAAAACAACTCCAACTGACATGCTGTCTGCTTCTGTATACATGGAGGTGCAACGTCCTGAGATGCAGTGGGCTTCCTGCACCCTTGGGCCACCGGTGATAGCCGATGCCGATCGGGAGCGCGGAGCACCGCTCACGTGGTAGGGGGACTACGGCTCTTGACTCCGGTTCGCGGGAAAGACAGGACAATGATGTATTCGCAAAGTTTTAGGCAAGATTCCAGGTGCTGCGAGTTGAGTGTGCAGCAGTGCAAGGCACTGCTCATTGCAGCTGTGACCCCCAGCTATCTTTGGGTGAGTTGTTGCCAGTCTCTTATACAAAGGTAGGTTCTTCGCCCTCCAAGTCAGCGATGGTTTTCAACCTGACATCTCGATCCCGCGTCTTCCAACCGGCCCGAATTCCCTTGCGTGCTGCAAAGACCTCAGAAACCGCTCTTTCAACCGTCTCTCAGGTTTGTGCTGTGCTTGCGACCTCGGCCTTTTTTGTCGTAATTCGGCCGCAGCTGCAGCAATGTGCTTCGGGCTCAGACCTACAGGCCCGTGGCAGCCAAGATGATCTGATGCGTTCCTAGAGGAATCCAATGCTCTCCAGTTGTTGCAACAAGACACTCGAGCTTCTTCAAGCACTACTGAAGCACCACGTCCCTAAAGACACAGCTGTATCGTTAAGGCCACCTTCTCCAAGACTGCAGAGCAAGAATTGTGGAGGAATTTGTACCCCCGGAGATAACGAAAATGACCCTTCGGGTGCATATTATTAAGTGCCAGCGCGTGGCTTCCGACGCCCCTTTGGCGAGAAGCCACGACCGTGACGACGCTCATGATCGGGACTTCTCGATAGAGAAGCCCGAGTACGTGAGAGTGTATCAAAATGGAGACGCGCATCCTTTTATCTGGAGTCCCCCATTTGCGAGCGACTAACTGATAGTGTTCCATTTGATATGAGCTGATGCCTCACACAAATGTCTCCGTTTACAAAAAGTTGGGTGGGTTTTGCTCTGTGCAGCAGTGCCAGGGAAAGCCGAACAAGTGCCTACACGGGTCCAACACAACTCAACAACGGGCCCGAAAGAAACTTCACATCCTGATGCCCCGCAGGCAAAACCAGTGCTAGACAGCGTCCAATCCGAAGGGGCTTCACAACTACTACCAGTAACACAATGGCAGTCCAGACCATGATCTTAGCCGACGACGCAAACAAACTCTTCAATGTGTCGTGGTGAATGCAAAGTAGCCTGCCATGAGGTATGCCGCACAGCAACAAAGCCCACAGAAGGAGGCACAATACCTACCCAAACAAAACATGGACAATCATCGCATAGCACGGACTGGTCTGTAACAGTTGTAACTTCACTAGATCGCCAGTCAAAAAGCCTCTGTTTCGAGGGGAGACAGCGGGGTCGTCGCGCCCTTCTTCTGACTCCCGGATGACATTGGGCTTGCGGCTTCCTCTGACATCGCCTCGACCATGTTCATCCTCTCAGGCGCGAGGTGCCTTTTGCGATGCATGGTTTTCCATGAATGCCAAGACCTGCTGACCTTTGTCGGACTGGAGGTTGCGTTTACTCAGTTTACTCGTGTGCTTGCGTCCTTGGCGTCTTGACCAGCTAGTTGTCTAGCAAGCAGAGGGACTGCTGGTACTGTCTAACATTGGTTCGAGGCGCCCTACATTTCTGATAAGGGAAGGCGGGCAAGCGCTGAGACAAAAACCCACCCACCCACCCACCCACCCACCCACCCACCCACCCACCCACCCCCACCCCCACACCCACACC